GATGGGTGAGTGAGTGAGTGGACGAGCGAGTGTAAAATGATGGTAATTTCAATGATATACTATCCCGGGACATTATGTTTTTTGCAGCAATTTTAATGGCCACCCAACTGCAGCGTCTGTTTCGGGAATGTCGGATGCTGACGACTGTTTGGATGAGAGATTGGGAAGAGAAATGCTTTTTTTTTTTCACGAGGAAAAAACTTTTTCCAGATTTAAACATTCCAGTGATATATCGCGTACTTAAAATTTATGTTAAGACTAGTGGGCGTGCGGGTGTGGAAAGGCAGTCACTTCATATAACATTTTTATAGATTACAGTTGTCAAGCGACGGGGATCTCGGAAGGATTGCAACTGGACCCTATAAAAGATTATTATAGCAAGCTGATTGTAGCATGCATGTAATATTAAGAACTCAAATAGGGTGGGCATGGAGCGAACTATGTATAGACGGATGTAGAAATATAGCTAGTGTGGGAAAAAGTAAGTACGAATGAGTTAAGACGTTTCGGACCATTATCGGAAAACAATGTAAAAATTACCTCACCGAAAACACGATTCAATAAGGAAGTGATGTTGTGTGTTAAGATTCCCCTCCTCAAGCACTCACTGTAACAGCAGCATCGAAAACGCGCTGCATGTTTTTCAATCCTTCCATTCTACTATTTCAGGCATTTAACATAGGAGCTTTGCTGAATCTGAGCGAGGGACGCAAAAGGAGAGGTTCCTCCTCTCCCTCCTCCTCCTCCTCCTCCGGGAGGCAGCGCCGCGGCTTCACGCTGGCCGTCGAGGAGCAGCAAAATGAGGGCAGCAACGGCGCCCTCATCTGCAGCGCGCCCAACGGCGCCAAAGCTTTTCGACATGCTTATCCGATCATCGACGCCGACTCGTACGTTCTCATGCGTCTTTTTTAATTCAGATAAATAAAGCAGGCACACACTGGCGCCTCTCTCTAATCAGATTTTATGCAATCACTGATCCAAATCTCGCGCAGGGGATTTAGGTCATGCAAATCGTGCTACCTTCGAATATCCCAAGTTTTCTCACGATATCATAGAGCTCAAATCTGTATTTTAGTATGGAGGCATGGTATTCGATTACCCATAAAGTTATTTTCTTTCGTCAGAAGTAAAAACATAAGACAAAAGTTGCCACCCCCCACCCTCCCCCACCCCCATAAGTGGATAATGCAGATCATAAATTAACAGTTGTTCCAAGTATCCCAAATGAAGGTCACATATTTCGTTAACCGCAACATGAGAGAGCAATGGACACTGATTATTACGAGGTATTCTGAACGCAATGGCACTGTTACAAAATGAGTAAGAGCCGCTCCATTCGGAGAGTAGTTTGGATGGCAACTCCCCAAATTCCCGGTTCCGCGGTCGACCCTCAGATCATCGGCAACTTCTTAAGCGATCATCCGAATACTTCGAAAGGTGCCCGGCAAAACACAGCAGGTGACGATCCGAGTGAGTGCACGGCAAGACGATCAAATCGCAGGGAATGTCCTTCACCTGGCACTACTGTTCAGCCTGCTCATCCGTCCCATCAGCAGCACATTGGGCATTCCGTTCCCACGCTGTCCATAAGGCACTCATTTCAGTGTTATGGCTCCCAAATCCTTCGCTTTTAATTTTTTTAGCAAAACTATTCGTCTTTCGTTTTTCCCTGTGATTGTTTTTTCGAATCAATACTAGCATAATAGAATTTTTTAATAAAAAGAGGGAAAAGAGAAAGCAGAATAAAAGAAAGGTTAAAAAAATTTTAGAAACTGGGAAGAAATGTTTCGGTCCATAAAGTCGTATACAAATCTTGTCAGAGCCACAACTGAACCTAGAATAAGTTATTCCCCATAAGTCATTGATCGGAATACAATATTCTATCAAAAAAAAGGGAATTTCGCTTGAGTTAAGTTACTAAGCTGTAGGTTGCACGAATTACAACTTCCAGTTTTATAGGCAAAGGTCTCCAGTGTTCAGCGACCTTTGTAGCGTATTTTTTCGTAACTTTCCCAGCTGTTGGTTATTCTGGCAATAGGAAACACAATAATACTTGCCTTCTGACTTCTTGATAGGAAGGAGCTTAATAAAAAGCTCTTTCTTGGGAATGTCTGTCCTCATGCTTTACAAAAAAGGCAGGTAGGAGGCTTGGCACGGTTCTGCTTGTATCTCGGCAACAGTGAAAGTTATACAGGCTGGATTTACAAATCGAGCAAGGGGAAAATCCGTAGATAATTCGGAGTATTGGAGGTGAGGAGGGATTATAACTTACACCGATAAGAGGCTGGTGACGGCCGAATGGGGAACTCCAGGTGCTTTTCGTCGGCGCTGCTTGTTGCTTGACCTGTAGGCCCAGCAAGCTCGCTTATCTATCAGTGCTTTTAGACAAATATGAAAAAGGAAGGTATCAGGTTATTTATCTCAGACTCCATTTTCGCTCACTGAAAATGGTTTTTGTTTGGATTTCTAAAGCAAACTATTGTACAGAAATAGGATTATGTAAGTCATACTATTGGACAGAAATAAGGTTATGTAAATCTCCTTGTTTCACAGGATGTACCTGCTACGCCATCTACCGCCACTCAGTGACGAAATGAGGTATCGATGTCCGGCACTGCCGCTGCGCACCCGTTCTACACCAGAATTCTCGCTGGTTCTCGATCTGGTTAGTATTTTTCTCCCATTAACATAAACTTTCTTGTTTGTGGAGATTGTCGTTCCTATCAAAAACTAAATCTTTACATCAAACGCTTATCTATTAAATCTGTAGTTAGCGAGGAAATCAATTGATCTAGCTAATCTTGGTGGAAAGCAATGGTTTAAGTTTATTTAGAAAGTTACTTCTAATGCACTGAACAGCTGAGATCGCAGTATCGTTCTCCTTTCCTAGTTGTTTTTACCAGTGCAGCATTGCCTAGTGGTCAGCCTGCTAGTGATTCTGGTGTTCATCTTCTGGAAGTATTAACAGCTAAGCGCCGAAAATCTTACTGTTAAAGGCCAGTCAGAGAGAGTGGCACTAGAAGTAGGCTGGTAAGAGCCTTACTTCCCAAACAGCATTACCCAGAACCTGCTGTGTGCTTCAACAGCGTGTATGGGATAAACTTCTTTTCAAAAACATAATTGGCAGCTTGCAAAGTATTCTTGTGATTACTCGATTTCTGAGCGGCTCTTCCTTAATTCTGTCTAGCCTACTAGTTCAGTGGTGTCTGGAATAGTTGTTAATTCAGATTTAGCTCAGCTGATTGATCACAGTTAAGTTGAAGTTACTCGAACTGCCACTTGTTAATTGACGTTAAATTAGTAATGAATCACTGCGACAATTGCACCGATTTTCAAGCAGAAACATTTCCTGGGAGAAACTGTGCTTTCGCTTAGCAGAATTTGAGTATCTGAAACGCCGTGTAACTTTTTTTTTTAACACGTGCTTTTCCTCTTACAATGCCTTAGCAAACATCTACGATTTCATGGGCCAAAATATTCGTACAATTTTTTAATATAATCTATTTTTTAAATATATGTCATAATATCATTGCCCCCGCCCCAAACGTCTGGAAAATGTTTTGTTTTCAGGATGAAACGCTAGTTCACTGCA